GAGCAGTTATATATATCTGGTTTAAGAATTTCTGCAACAATGGCATTTGGCCCTCGAGAAGAAGAATCAGCCACATTGGGAGCATTATGATCTTCAACAGCCTCACTCTTGAGAATTTCAGCTTTTGGATCTTTGGTTGATCTTGTATAAGACCTCACGAGATCATAATCACTAGAATACAAAGTCAAAGAAGGTAATGAACTCACATATGACACATTACCTTCACCATCATCTTCTGTAATTGCACCAATCGCTCCAGCACTAAAAGCCTTATCTTCTCCATCAGGATAAGGACACGACACATTCTTCCCTGTAACCAAACTACTCTCTAAACAATGACAGTCATCAGCTTTAACTTTTGGGCACTTCTCTGAATCGCCATTTTTTAAAGCTACAAGAAACTGTGTGCCATTTGATGCAAAAGAATTGACTGAATTGCCAGTTAGGGTTTTGCCATTGCCAAGAACAACCTTGTCGATGATTCTACCATCAATGGTGCTTGATGCTACTGTGAAAGGCCATGGTGCTTGATTCTACCCTGAGACTGTGGTTGGATCAGGACCATTGTTTCCAGCTGAATTCACTGTGAGGATTCCTCTTGCCATTGCATGAAAGGAACCAATTGAAATGGCGTCGTTTTTGAAATCTGTTGGAGATGGTTTTCCTAATGAAACAGAAAGAATGTCTACTCCATCTGCAATGGCATCATCAAAAGCAGCTAACAATTTCGCTTCATCACAACCTGCGACTATGTTTCATGTGTTAGAATTGTTAGAATACGATAAACGTAGACTACCTAGACTACTGGAAAACACACATATATACTATATTATAACCTCTTTCTAACTTCACTTTTTAATAACATCTGAAATAATTTAAGCTTACTTAGATGCCTTTTACATCAAGACCCCTAATGTAATCATATTAAGTACAATATTTATTATTTACGAACTTTAAAATTACCATTAGAACTACTTGTCATATCGGCCTAGGGACAGAGGTGTCCTCGAGATATCAGGGTGGCCATGGGTTCGATCCAAAGCTCACTTAGCCCCCTTCCTAGTCCAAGAGAAAAAACTACAGTCATTATCAAATAGTTTTGTCACTCCCACAAAGCTCACCTACAGTTATTTCTAGAATGTATTTTTGAAGTACCTCTTTTGATCATTCCTTCCCGTTGAAAAGTACTCTCTTGATGGAAAATCTCTTTAATAAATAAAGTAGATTAAGATCTTATATTTAGAATCGAAACAAGCCACCTTTCTACTAGCCCTTATATTTTGGACCAAACAAAGTACTATATACCCCTCCAATCCTCAACGTAGAAACTAATTTGAGTGTTAATCTTAGTTCTAAAGACCCATTTCATCATATATTCAACAATTTTTTTCCAAATTAACCCTATTACGCTAATCAAATAAGGGTAGGAGGGAGGGGATTAAAAAAGATGACTAAGGTATTTTGGAAAAAATATATCATATTACCTAATTTAACTAACATTCTTAATCTATTTGAATTAGTTAATTAGGTCTTATGTTAAGGAATAGAAGAGTATATGACAAAATATATTATTAAATCATTGACACTAAAAGCCACAAAGAATTCTAAAGAATTTATTTGCAAACTACTCAACAAATCCTTATCACCTGAAGGATTGCAAACTTCGCAAGCAGCAATTCTTGAGGATGGAAAGGCTAGCTCCTCTTGCAATGCCTGGTGCAAGTCCATAAAAGCTTGCATCTTTAACTTTGTTTCCTGCATCAATTGAAGCAGTATGTGTTCCATGGCCATCGTTGTCCACAGCAGAATCATCTACGTAGAATCGAGCTCCTATAATCTTCTTGTTGCACGTAAAGGTTTTCCCACCTCTGCAACTTCCTGATTCAGTGCACAAGGCAAATAAACTTTAAAAATGTTCAATTGCTTGGACTAGATAAAGTTTTTAATTTAATTACCTTTCCATTTTTTTGGAACAGGACCAAAACCATGATCACTGAAACTGTCTGATCCTGGCCATATTCCAGTATCAACGACTCCAATTATAACATCACTTTCAGCAGCTGGCTGTCATTTAATGGATTCATGAAATCCTATGAAGTCCCATGATCTTGTCGTATGAGTTTCAAGCGTTGCACTTGGGAAAACAGATACTACTTCCTTCATCTGAGCAATCTTTTCTGTTTCTTCTTCAGTGAGTTTTGCAGCAAACCCATTAAAACTTCTCTTGTGGCTCTGAATCAACCAACCTGAAGCATCGTGGTCTTCATCACCATGGATGACTTGTTGTAGAATGCTCAAATGACGAGAAGTCGGAGAATACGATCATTCTTCCTCAGGAAGTGATCCCATGTAGACGATATATGTTTTCCTGTCACCACCAGCATCATCAATCACTACAAAAAATTGACTTTCAGCGGCGATAAAAGTCGCCGCTGAAAAGTCGCCACTGAAAGTACAAAAATCATTGCCGTAGCAACCGTGGCTGAAAACTTTCAGTGACGACTATAAAGGTCACCGCTAAAAGATACTTTCAGCAGCGATTTTTAGAAGTTTCAAATGTCGCCGCTGAAAGACACTTTTGGAAGCAATAATGAAGAAAGACGCAGCACAGAGGAAAACAGTTGATGAATAATACTCCCTCCGTTCTTTATTATAAGAAACATTTGATGCTTATGGCATATTCCTATACATAAGAGACACTTACAAGTTGTCTCTACTTTTTTGTGTTGATTTACTATTTTACCCATATTTATTATCTCCAACTCACACTCTCTCTCCCTCCCACTTCTCTTTCTTTTAATAATTTAATTGTTCTCTCTTATGCTCTCTCCTTATTAATGAGGGCATTTTTGGAAAAAAATTATACTTTTTACACATTAATTGTTCTTAACTAATTTTAACTGTTTTTTTGATCAACGTACTTCGGTTATTTGTCTCTTATAATAAGGAACGGAGGGAGTATTGTTTAGCCCTTATTTCACCTCCTGGGATATTGAAGGATGCAGGAATGTTTCATCTCTGATTATTTTTATGAGAGAGAAAACAATTTAATTTCATTTATTGCTCTTGGGCGGCAATTATGACTTTCTTATATTGGTATTAAATTAAATCTGCTTCAATTAATGATGAGTGAATTTGACTAGATCTGAGCCATTTATTGTAAGGTCAAGTGTGTGCTAGATTTAATGCCATAAACGTGGATTAACAAAGGAGTAATTAACAGACAAAAATATACTTTAATTAGCCTATTATTTTACGAAATGATAATATAAAATATATTGTCGGTATTCAGTCAAAGTTGGATTTCATGGAATTGAATGAAATTAAAATTGCATCGCAATCGGATTTCCCGAATTTTGGACTGAGACACGATTATAATGTAAATTAACAAGCAAATGCAAATAATTATAAACAGGAAGGTCACTCCAGCACCAAATTTGCTTTGTTCAAATTCATTTTCCATTTCCCCTTCCACCTAACCAATTACTCTTATGCTCCTATTTATAAATCACCCCCAACATGTTTTATATAGACAAAGAAAACTTTTAGCTTTACTAACTCTCATTTAAAATTTAATAACTTTTTTAATTTTATTCCTCTTTAATATAAATTATACTACATGAGAACAAAGTCAACATATTAATAAATGAAGGGTAAAATTATACATTCATGTCAAAAAAATTTCTCTCTATCCTATAAATACAATCAAAAAATTTATTCTTTCTCTGCCATGTAAATATGATCAAAGGAGTACATATCAATTAGTGATAATGAAATCTCGTTAGTCAATGGAATAACTTTCAAAATTTAAGGAAGAAATTCTTTGTATCAAAAATAGCATATTGTCTGGTCTTATTTATAAGACAAAGAGAATTTTTCTTGCCTTAATATAAATTGCCTTATTAAATTTATTATATAAATACACAATTTTTCCTAATTTATTGTGTGAACTGTTGCTTTCTTAGAAAATACTATATGTGTGTACAGGGAAAAAGAAAGTATATATATTAAATAAAAATAAAATTAAAACTTTATTAAATTTTTAATGGAAAAAAAATTATTAAATGTCCAAACAAAGTTAAAATTAAATCTTATTAACTCTACTTTAAAACTTAACTTTTTTTTAACTATACTCAAATTTAATATATATATCATACCTCATGAAAATAAAGTATGCACAACAATGAATAAAAGGTAAAATCTTATATTCATATAAAAATTTAACAATGTAACTTATAAATAGGGTGAAAAATTAGCAAAAAAGATATAGTCAAAAAATTCTTCTTTTTCTACCTTATAAATAAAATTGCTTATAAATAAAAGGAAAAATTGCTTATAAATAAAAGGGTTAAGGTGTAAATCTGTCTAAAAAGTTTTCATTTAGGAGCTCTCAGCATGCAAAAGTTTTGTTGAATGCAAATTTACCTTAAAAATTTAAATTCATAGTAATATTACCCCTAAAAAGAACTAACAATTGTTCATACAGTACTTTTAATGGTAAGAGATAATATTTTTATAATTTTAAACTTTTTGGACAAATTTGCACTTAAAAATAACTTCTGATACCCACCATTTCTAAGAAAAATATTTGGGCAAATTTGTATTAAATTTTTGTAAGAATGTGTAGTTTTACCTTTCATTTATTAGTGTGTTAACTTTGTTTATATCAAGTATAATGTATACTAAATAAAAATAAAATTAAAAAGTTGTTAAATTTTAAATAAAAATTAATGAAATATAAAGTTTTTCTTAGTCTATATAAAACATATTAGAAGTTATTTATAAATAAGATCAGAGAAGTAGAATTACTATAATCTTTGATAGATTTTTTAAATTATTAATATATTTCTCAGGAGAAATATATCTAGCTGTGAGATGATTAACATGATATATCTCTTTGGAACGATTAAAAAAAATCGGATTTATTATTACAGGATTATTCATTTCATTTTGCCATAAAAGCAAAACAGAGCTGCAGCATCATACACTGTAACCTGACGTACTGGGGAAGGAAAGGGTTGTAAGAGCAGTAGTGACCCAGAGACTACTTTTCACTGCAAAGAAATACAGTATCACCATGAAAGAAAGAGTATTGAATCAAAAATACACAGAACGCCCTTGAAAAGAAAAATTCAAGGGCAATATCAAAGGATAAATACATAACAAAACTTCACACTGAACAAGAAGGTGCCACTAAACCTTATGGAAGGCCTATAAAACCCAAGCAAAGCAAATCCCCATGACTGATCTACTCATAATTTCCATGGATGCCAGATTTGAGCTCATAAGCAAGCCTCTGCCAGTAGGGAAGAAGAAAATGTTCATGAACTCAGTAATTAGTATGACTTCCCACAATGTATCAAGCTTCCAGCTCCCAAGAAAAGACCAAAAACAGCAGCGCTTCCCAGTGTGGTCTGTCCAATATGCCTAATTTTCAAAAATCCCGGTACCTGCAACTCGCATTATTAATAAAAATCAGCCAAATAAGAGCAGGAAACGAAGGAATTGATTTTTAACTCCCAATATAGTGTAATTCCATAAATACAATTGTAACAACCATGACGGAACTGACACAAATGGATATATGACTGATTTGGCCTTGTAAGGAGAAAAAAAATACAATGTCCTACAAATTCCTGGTCTTTGGCAATTAGAGTATTCATATCGTTGGTTCTGTTTGATTTGGACCAAAATCAAATTGAACTTCATAATCAGTTTTACAAAATAGAGGTTCTGTTCAGTTGACTTTGCCTCTAATACACAAAAACATATTTAAGGACTTGCTTTCATATTTGGGCTCTCAAAGCAGCAAAGGTCAAGTTGATAAAACATTTAAGCCAAATGCATATATAGACTAAAGGGGTGTTTGGGAACACCTAAAAGTGCTTTTAAAAAGTACTTTTCTGCAAATCGAGATAAACTCTTCGATATATTTATTTCTTATACCGTAAAATCACTTTTTTAAACCATGATTTGGTTTCCATCCAAACACCTCCTAAGTGGTCTGTGTAATTCCTGCAACAGAATGAATTCACCCACAACGAAACCCATGGATGTAACGAAGATTCCTCAACTAAGCAACCTATGTTTAGTTCAAGAGGCTCAATTCAGTATGTGGCGCCGCAAGAAGATCTTTGCACTATATCTCTTTATAATCACACATGAAATTTATTTTTAAGCTCTTATATGCAACAAAAAAAATCAAGTACACCAATTTTTACATGTTAGGTCTTACAATATGAAGTTGTTATTCCATAAAGTAGCACCATACTGAAGCTACTGATGGAAAGGCACCATTACTTTTTCTTGTCAAGCATCCAATGCAAAGATACCAGCAAAAGAGCAAAAACACACATGCATGCTTAGACACAACCACATGGCATACCTTATACCTAATAGCCTCGTATGTCCCATAAACAGCACCTGAAGGGGGAAAAACAGAGAAATTAGTAAAAGCTATGTAAATATTTCAAATGCAGGTCGAACATACCATATGAAAACTGTGAGCACATCCAATAGCTAAGTCGCATGTGATTTTAACATTTTATGAGTTTGACAACTTCAAGGCCATTATCAGTTAGGGCAAAGTTTTACATGACCAACGATTTGAAGAGGTCAAGTGTCTGAAGCAATACTCCAGCCAAAGTACTCAGACTTCATGCAAAGTTTAGAGATCAAGATTCAAACAATCTATACTCACTGCTAAGAAGTGTAAACTCAATTGGATTTTTTTTTTTTTTTGAGGGGTTCAAACCTCAATTGGATTAAACGGGAAAAAAAAAATGCCAAACTGGATGCCAAGCACTGTGGGAGGAATCATTCACTTGTTCTCGGTCCCCTCAAGTTCTACTAAGCATAATTTTGATATTTGAAAACTATTAATCGATCAAACAGATTCAAAGCTTAATATGATCAATTGGACTGTGACATTGAACAGAGAATCAAAAGATTGCAATGGGTATGTCCTATCTAAAAACCTCATGTACAACAACATAATTGGTTTCATATTGAAGAGACCCTATGGTTTGAGATTTTAGGTCCTTGGTCAGCTAAATGAGTACCATGAAAAGTGATGATAAAGAAATTGGGAATAGACAGAGGCGTGAAGGGAGAAACCATCCCGGCAGAAGTTTGTTTACTTAAGTACTCTAACAGCGTATCAAGGTTCTGTATGGTAAGCGATTTAAGAAGAAAAGAGCTAAATCAAGTAATTCCTTATTCCGGCCAGATGAAATATGAAATAGTAAAAATTTCAAAATTATATGTTTGACCAAGTTCATAATCCAAATGTTAAGCAAGACCACTTCCCGAATCAAATAAGAATTCATAATCTATATGATTCTTCTATTTCAAGATCCCTTCAAAGGACATGTGGTAACACATTCCAAATGGAAAAGAGATCACTTTAAAGGTGTCGATGAATTTTGTCAAAGCCAAAAGCTCAGCAGAATGAGACAAATGAAAAACCAGAAACACAGTCCAATAGCTAGCACATCTTACCTAGACACCAACAAGAATTAAACATAGTCAACTAAAAGCCTTCAAATTGCGAGATCATAAGGATAAAGGACAATCAAAAAAAAAAAAATCAATTCAGGCATCAAATTACTAGATTAATCCGAACAGTCCAAGTTCGAAATTTGTACCAACAAAAGAAAATTGATCATAGTTTACACAAGTAATTTTACAACATGCTTGCGATATCCTCGACGATGCAAAAGCAATTCCAGAAAACAAACGAAAGGGCAAAGATTTTCCAATACCACTTGCCTGAATTTATTTAAAAAAACGAAAAAAGAATAATTCAAAACAATAGAAAGTTGAAACAGAACTAGATGAAGCATAAAGCATCAAAGGAGATGAATAAGAAGTTCATAAATAAAAAAAAGAAGCAATGAAGGGAAAGAATCAAAAGGATTATGAATAAAAGCAGAGGAAATAAATGAAATACCGACAGCGCCGCCAACAGCACCACCAACTGCAAAGCCAGCGGTGACCCGAGCAAGGCAACTATCCTTCGCCATGAGAAAGGTGGACCGAACACAATTGAAGTCCTATTAACCACTGAACCAATCAAAAATGACGTAAGAGAGAAAAGCCCTAAATTGAAATTGGAAAAAAGCCAAAAACAGAAAAGTTCCGTTGCCGGGAATCGAACCCGGGTCTCCTGGGTGAAAGCCAGATATCCTAACCGCTGGACGACAACGGACTGGTTGATATTATTTTGATCACGCCTAATAGTATCAAATAATTAAAAATTAACGAGTCAAAAGATGCATGCTAACACTTGATTAAAACATCACTTAGCTAAAAAAAATTACAATAATGCGAATGTCGAGCCGAACAACATTTGTGTGGTGTTTGTGCAAGCTGTTGAGATCAATTAGCTGCTTCTTTACACATGATTTTTTGAAGAAATGTCATCCTAGCCCAAAAAAAAAAAAAAGGAGAGATTCTATGGTCATGAATCTAACGAAGTATGGAGACAACAGAGAACAAAAGAATTACATCCAACCATCCTCTCTCATAAGAAAATAATAAATGTTGCTATTGCGAACCGGCAAAACACAACAGTACATGGCACTAGGTATTGTGTGTTATGTTTACTCTTATAAAGGATGATGGACCAAACAGTTGTGATAGGAAGATTTGTCCACTTGGCTTGCCAAAAACACAAAAACTAGAGTCAAAAGGAATAAGAATCAGGACTTGTTTGTTTTTGTTTTTTTTTTTTTTTTTTTTTCAAAACAATTTTATAAAATTGTTTTTTAAAACCAGTTTTGAGAATAAAAAAACAGTTTGGATAATTATTTTAAAAAATGCATTTGAAACCAAAAAAACATTAAAAAAAAAAACACATTGTCCACAAGATGGGCGGCTAGTGAAAAGAGAAGGTTTTCCAAATTTTTCAAAACAAAAAAGATACAAACTACTCCTCCAATCCTTAATATAAGACCCTTTTAACTAATTTAATTAGATTAAGGAAGTTAGGTAAGTTAGTTAATTATAAGAAAAGTGACATATTTTTCCTAAAACACCATAATCATCTTTTTTAATACCGCATCTCCCTCTTCTACTTGATTATGGTTGAGAGGTTATCTATAAGGGTAATTTAGAGAAAATTGATAAATATGAAAAATGAGTCTTACATTTAGGACCGAAACCAACTCAAGAATTGGATCCTATATTAAGGACCGGAGGAGTACAATAAAAAATATAAATGCAAGCATCAAAGTATGTATGTACTAAAGCCTAATAATCAATCATAAATAAAGTTAAAACCATTTAAGCACACTTGGATTCTCTTTTCTTTTTTTTTTTTCCCTCCATTCCTTTTCCTATCTTCTTGCTTTTCTAAACTCTCCATGAAACCAATGCCAAAACCATAAAGGAGTAATTACACAAGCCGTGCAGTTTGTTTGTTGAGCTAGAAAATTGTATATCAGCCTCTAATTTGTTTTTGCTAAAATTCTACACATCATCAACCATGCAACATCAATTTCTTCTCCATCAAGAGCTCCAAGTGGAAAATTATTTCCCATGTAACATTACTAATTGCAAGAGCTAGAGTAAACACACGTTTAAATCAAGAACCGCACCTCCTATAGTAGAAGGAATCTTATGAACAGACTAGATAGGGAAAAAATTAGCAAATGCATTTGCTTATGAAATTTACACTGCAGCTACTTTCAACAAGAGCCAGCAACCTACTAAGAATATACATTTCTATCCCTCAACCCCCACACAAGGTACAGATAGGGAAAAAATGGAAAATGAAATCAATTTTAGAAAAGGGGAAAAAACGGGGGAAATTACAGAATCACAATCAAATCCCTATTCTTTCCTATCATGCCAAACATAGCTTCCCTCTAGGCTTTATAATAGATGGAAGCCAAATTGTACTGGATTAGTGCAGTCTTCTTGTAAATCAGAGCCGAAATGTTGAAAAGAACATCTCATATACAGATTGTTATGTCAATGAGCCAGGTCCTCACTCCCTACACCAACAGCCGATTTGTCAACCATGCGCACATTGTATTGTTCATACACACGTGCACGATTCTCGGCCCACCATTGTTCTGCCTGTTTCTCACTAAACCGCTTCCGACTGCATTCACCAGTGAGAAGATTAGAATACGTAAGAGATAATGTATCAAACACAGCCAGGGGGGGGCAAAAAATGGCCCATGAATTAGTTGCTTGATGCTAAAGATTTATTACAGAGTAATTGCCTGGTTTGTTTTACACACCATGATACAAGACTCAACCAACCTAGATAGCCTACATTTAAGTTACTGCACCAAAATGTCTTTTTAAAGTGGGGAAAAAAGCCTTACAGAGGCTAAACTGATATTAGAATCAAGCGGTAATTGAATAAGGACCATTTTTGGTGAATGCATAAATACCGTTATCACAATCTATATGACCAATTTCCTGATGAAGTCCTGCAAGTTTACAAAGAAACAATGCACCATAATGGAATCCATACCTGAAGCGAACTCTCTTTAGATCTATTACACCTCCAGGTAGGGAAGTGAGTGTGATATATACACCAGGTTCATCCTGCTCAACCCATTCATTCTCATTACGAGATTCACTTTCCTTTGTTCTGCTTCCATTTCTATTTGATGCATCTGACTGGCTCAGTTTATTGTGACCTGCAATACGGTTATTGATGGTGCTTGATCCATTTGACAGTGATTGACTGTTTGATCCCGTCAAGTCTGGTTCTAGACTGGTAGCCTGAACATTTAAACGCTCAACAGAAGCATTGCTGACTTCATTGGAACCAGGACTAGAACTAAAAGAAGCAAGAGAAGGTGATTTGACGTTCCTTGCTGCTCCAACAGGTAGCCTTTCAGCCATTTCCTTCAACTATTCAGTGTAATACACAAAGAAACATAGGATCAGTTAGACTTGTTCAGTGAAACCCCAAAATAAATTCCTGACCTCGTCAGTTTATTATTTAAAAAACAAATTCAAAATCTCTTGTGGATACAAAATGCACTAGTCAGAACTATCACAGCAACAAAATCACATTATGGATACAAAATTTGTAGACCATCACGCTGCTTTACATTACTAATCCTACCTGAGCAGTAAGTGACTTAATCACTTCCTTTGCCGCTTTACATTTAGCAGATTCTTCACCAGCAATGGCTATTGCTTCTTTCAGCTGTTTAGTTGTTCTTTCTAGCTCAATTTCTTGTAGTTGAGCTTGGCGAGTGAGATTTTCCACCTAAACAAAAAGAGTGATCAGGTTTACTACCAGACAACCACGTGAATCAACCACCATTAAGTAATTGAGCAATAAAAAAGAAAAGAGGAGGGTCCTCCCACACACACAGAACCCGTGCATGAAACAGTCAACCATAAACCTTAAAAGACTAAATATTGAGCAAGTTATTAAAAGAAACTCCTTAAAAGTAATTGATTGAAGTATCCAAACCAAAAGGTAAAGCAAAATTCCCATTGTTAATTTCGTATATCTACTTGGACTTTGCAAAACAAGGAACAATAATTAGCTTAGATATAAGCACATTGGAGTACAGAATATCCTTTTCTTTCTAAGCGTGCATCACAGAATCTGACAGCCCCAAACATGACATAACCGAGTCACAACATAAACAGATATTGCTTTCTTTGGTATACAACAGATAATGCATTTCGCTATCAATATCCAAGTGAAGATATTGACACGCACACTATTCCATTCTTGCCTCTGCTTCCACATGATACCCGTTTAATTTTCTTCAGACAGTACTTACATTGATAAGAAACATATCTAATGAATCAACTAGACTAAGTCCATACGAGAGGGTGAAACTTGTAAGCCCATGATATAAAGATTCTACCAACATTATTGTAGGCAAGAAAGGGAAGTGTTGTCACTAAAAAGTTACCTGCGCTCTTAATTTAATAACCTCCTGACTGAGGCTATCATTTGTCCTCTTAGCATCATCCACCACAATCTTTGGGGAGGTAAGTCCCCCAAGGGTTGGGGTTGGAGTAGTTGAACGAGGTGGACTGGGCCGTCTGGAAATGGGGGATGTTGCTCGAGAAACAATTCTAGATCCAGGAACAGAAGCTGAGAAAAACTTCTTTGATGATCCAAAAACAGGATTGAAAGATTTAGAAATATTCAGTGCTCCCCACTGTGAGCCTCCATTTGGAGCAGGCGAGACACGACTACTGTTGAATTCCAATTTCTTGTTTTTCTTCGAAGACCTGCTCTCCACTTGCTTCAAGGATTCCATTGAAGAGAATCTTCCAAGTTGATTACGAGATCTTGAATCCAACTTATCATCCTTATCAATAAACTCCAATGATCCCTGATTGATACTTCCTCTTCTGCTTACAGAAGAATGCGATGAAGAATCAGCTTCAATAGCTTTTCTTAGTTTATTGAAACAATTATCACAGACACGATAAGGCTTGTTGGGATTTGGTGCCATGGAAGCTTTAAGAGACTTCTTACTGCTGCATGAATGACAAAAAACAAGTCCACAATTATAACAATTGTGACGTTTTCGCTTAAAATTAAATGGCAGACGGCAACCAGAGCACATGGACTGGTCAACACCAGAGACCCACTTATGAAGACAGATAGCTGCAGTAAAATTAGTACCACAAGCAATACTTTTGACTTGCTTGTCTTTAAGAGCTTCTACTAATGTTGGGGTATTTCTATCATCATTATCCCCATGGCCTAAACGTCCATTCGCACCCTTGCCCCAAGTGTAGACCTCAGTCCTTGAAGTTAAAACTGCAACATGATATGCACCACAAGCTATCTCCTCCACAAAACTCTTTGAGAGCTTTCCTTCAACACGTGTTGGTAGCTTCCCATCAACTTGGGGATTTCCCAACTGACCATAGACAGGACTACCCATTGTATAAACATGGCCCTGTGTAGTAAGTGTGACGGTCAGACTATGTCCACAAGCAACTTGACAAAAGTTGGGCTCAACAAGAGCTGCAACGCAGGTAGGAACAAGTTTTGCTTCCTTGTCACCATGCCCAAGTCGACCCTTGTCTCCATCACCCCAAGTAAACAGCTTCCCCGATGAGCAATTGCTGGAACTTGAATTTCCAACCATGACTTCCACTACAGCAGCAGTATGCCAAACTCCGCAAGCAGCACGTACGGTTCGAAGTCCCTTCAGAGACTCTACTTCCCTTGGAATTGAAACACTTTTTCGATCCCCATGACCTAGAACACCAAATGTACCATCTCCAAAAGTAAACAATTGCCCAGAAGAGGTCACAACTGCAGTATGCCATGGTCCACATGAGATAGATGAAACATGCATGCCCTCCAAGGGTCCATTTACTCTTTTGGGGACCCAGTGACTCACTTGATTTCCATGCCCAAGGAGGCCATAATTGTAGGTGCCATCACCCCATGTATAAAGATCACCAGAAAATGTGACAGCGCATGTATGATACTCACCACAAGCAACAAGTTCAATATTTGTATTACTTAGAGTTTCTACAAGCTTTGGATGAAGAACATCAGAATCAACACCATGACCAAGCCTACCCCCTGATTCTTCACCCCATGAAAAAATTTCCCCTTGCTTAGTCACTAAGGCTGCATGCCGTCCGCCACAAGCAATATTCTGCACATCAAGTACTACTGCAGATTCCAAGGCTTTGGGAAATAGAGAATCCATTTTTGCACCAAAACAACTACCAACTCGATGAGTCCCACCACCCACAACACCATCACCAGTGCCTTCTCCCCAAATGAAAACATCTCCTAATGCATCACCATCATCATGACCAGACCCTTGGCTGGATGAACTGACAGCACTAGAAAGACTAACTCTAAAAGCATCCATAGGCATTGTCCTCATATGGCCATGTACACTATCAGATCCTCCTGATGACACAGAGTGAACTGAACCACTGGCAGAATCTGGAGGGAAGAAACCCTTTGGAGGAACAGCATACAAAATCACATCAGATAATGCTTTATCCAAACCATTCTTTGGGGGACTCTCATAAGGGCTATGAAGGCGAAGGTGATCTCCACTATCCTGCAAAGGGCAATGAAAATCCTCTTAATAGAAAATATATAATGTTGACTGAAATGGAGTTATGCATGGAAAACATGAAAAGTAGCACAGATATATAGCAATACCTTCTGCAAGCTTTCATTACTGCCAAATGGAGAGCTTAAGGGAGAACTTCTTCTAGTGTATGTTCGAGGACTATTAGCTTCAGAAGGAATACCATCACTTCTTGATTCTGTTCTCCACTTCCGGTGATGGCTACGTGATATTAATGCTTTCAAACCGCTGAACCAAACTTCAGCCTCATCTTTATCTTTGCAAATCTAGTTAAAAATAATCATATCACTCAATTATATTAAACCTTTACAAACAAAATAACTTGATACCATCCAGTGTATCAATGATATTCTGCAAAACAAAGGAGCAGGGCAGAAAGAGCCGATAATCCAAAGGAGGTGAATGAAAACAATCCATACCAAGTCCAGTGACCTATCACTGTAGATAAGAGAAAATGACTGGTATTCCTTTTCTGGCCGTGGATATCTTTGGAAGATTGGCTGAGAGTAGGAACAACGTTTAATCAGTGATGACAGCAGATGCCCAAGGACAAGAAAGAACTAGGAATATATTTATATTAGACACCCCTGTACAAGCTCATCAGGAAATCATGTGCAATGTCATTTAATAAATGACAACTAATTAGATTAGGGACAACTGGAGAGCAAATAAAATCAGTATGCATCTATAAATTCTCCAAAGAAACAGCACATTCATGGCTAATAGAAGGGAGTGAGAGAGTAACCAAACCATGACCACAGGAAATTAATCACTTGAAACTACTGCAAATATTCAAAAATTTAAAAATCTTGAATGTATCATCCAACAGTTTCAATAAGAGTAAATACCTATCTGCATTGGAGCACATGAGGGACCATATTCATGAGAGTTCACACATATGTGCATATAAAATTAATCAAACAAACAATGATGAAAGTATAGTACAAAAACTTGTCTCAAGGAGTTCTAACAACTTCTGTCTAAATCTAAAGCAGCAAAATAGTATCAATGAATTTCTTCTTCAACCTACAGCACTTACTGTGCGCTGTCCAGAGATAATTCTGGAAACGTGACTAAGTTTAAGGTGTTTCTCCTCCTTCCCTGAGAACCATATTAAAACAGATTCATCCTGAAAGCAAAGCAAAAATAATAAATTATTTTCAACTTTTAGAAGCAGGAAAAAATACCAATCAACTTCACGATGGAATCAACTAATGCATTCACCTAATGCAAAATAAATTGCAAGCAAGACCGTAACAATAATGACCATAGCGCCATCATTAAGTAATGAAAAAGAAAACTTTAATACCATATACAGGCAGCAAAGTTTCATATGGTCAATAAGTTTAAATATGTTTACAATTTTCCAAAAATTAAATTTTGAAAACCCGTGACGTAAATTGGAGTTGCTGCCTTGGCAAATTTGGCTAAGCCTTTGGCAAGCAAGCTTCCTTCAGTTCAAATTGCACAGCATATCAGGCTTTCACCTTCACATTTTCAACTAGCCACTAAAAAGTTTGTAAGAGATCAAAGATCATCATGATTTCCTTTTTTTTTTTTTTTCCTTTTTTTGGAAATTATGCTTCTTAAATTGCAATGTAGATAAACTTTTACAGGGACTAGTTTCCATCTACAGGGGAAAAAACAAACTCACATTTGAAAGGCGGAAGGGACAAAACTTGGGTTTCCCCCTTCTTCCATACTTGAGCAAGCAAGCTCCTTTCTTTAAAGCGGTAATGGCCTGCATATAAGATGAATAGAGGAACTAAGTCACCATGAACAACACAATTACTGATGAAAAACATTCACAGCTAATAGAACTTAGTACAGAATTTAGTAAGTGTAACAAAAAAATGGGAAGAGTAGAGAGGCAATGGCATCATGTCAAAGTTCCATACACCTCATCACACTGCAACAATAGATTGAATACACATCAACGTTTGTAAAGATGTCATCACGTAACATGCCACAATGAGACAGCATGGACAATCTATATGTATGGTTTTCTTATCTACTGATTAATATGGAGAAAATAACAGTACATCATATTTCTCTCGAGAGTATTAAATGCAAAAAGTTTGGGGGGGGGGGCCTTTCAAAAAGAGAACACTGATCAAATAAAATGATCCAAGAAATATTATAATAAAATAATCAAGCATCTCAATAACAAATCTCATAACGGTTTAGTCCAGTAAGAAAGCTGCAAAATCTTATAAATGACATTCTGATGTCATAACACAAGCCTTTGCAAATTACAAAACACATTTGATCGCTTGCACAATTTCATTTAGGAGTAAGTGAGCAAGGTTTCCAAGCAACAATCCAAATGCATAAGGTGCATTTAGTCTAAAATATTTAGCATTTCTTTCTCTCCTGTCCAGGAAACTCTTGTGAAGGTTACTCACTAAAGCAAGTTCCTATCTAAAGCCTGATTTACCACAAAAGGCCAAAGTGCCCTTCCTGTTCTATATCTCCTATTATATTGCTTAGCATTGTACAGAGTCCAACGAAGTTTACATAACTTATAAGATTTAAATAGCACTCCATCACAATTTCCACATACCCAAAGGTCATGAGTTAACATCATACAGTATACTAGCATCTATTTCTTTATGTTAAGCATAACCATAGGTAGCCAACATTTCCATAGACTGAACTGGAAGTCAGTTTGTTTTCTTTTACTTGCCATTCATCACACAGTGTACTAGCATTTATTCCTTTCTTTGCATAACCGTGTAGCCAACATTTCCATTGACTGAACCAGATGTCAGTTTGTTAGCGCAAGATTTTTTTCTTTTTTTGGATGAGGACGGAAATCAGATGGATCAACATGAACAATGGTGTTAAATGTCTCTTTTGCAAGATAGCGTAATTGTCACCATTGAAAAAGTAAATGTAAAACGGTGACCTAAAAATCTTGCTTGAGCTCATACACTTCAAGCCAAAAGTTGACACAGATTTTGCGAATGAGAGGTTTAAAAACTAGAAGTTATTTACGTGAATGTGAAGCTCTTTGCCCCAAAGAAAATCAACCAATTATCTATAATTTCCCTCATCCCAAACACGTTAAAATCAAAACATCCAGAAAGTTGCAAAACAATGCCTCAATAATGATCATAATAACAACTTTCTTCCTCATTCAAAGAAAAGTGGGGGAAAGATGATAACAACATCAATAATAACACTCTTACCAGGGCTCACAAGGTTATAGGTACTCGTAAGTCTTGGGATTGTCAAAAAATCAAAATTAGAGAGCAAAAAGGCTACTCAAAAGAGATGAAATTTGAGTAAACAAGGCAAATCACTACACATGGTGGACATCAACCACATCCTACTTGTCCTTTACCCCACAATCCATAAAGGTAAAACATTGCTTACAGTGCCAAAAACAGCGAAATCTAAAAGCAAACAGTACTCTAGCATCAAGTATCCAGAAATATCTACCAACACGGTAATGTGAAATTCAGGAAAGTTTCCAAAGAAATGGACAAACATAGATACCTGCTCAGTGTCTCTTTCCACAGGACCAGTTTTGTTAAGATCCGACATCATTCTATCAGTCCGCGACATTACCCAAACAAAAAACACTATTAATCTCTATTCCCAAATCTAAACAACAGTCTTGCACTCAGCCATTTTCATAATCAAGCCCTTCCATTCATTAATTCATCAAAAAACTCCACGAAACCCCTAGTAAACGCCCAATTGCAACGCTCCAACAGCTCAAAATCCTCACCATCCCGCAAATCCACCATGATATTCCCTCCTGTTGAACTCCAATTGGCTCGATTAAATTTCCATTATGCACTCCACAAACCAAAACAATGCTTCCGAACTGTGGGCCAAGCACAGTGAAAACTCAAGGGCCCTCCAAAGTGAGTTTCAACACTAATTAACAAAGAAGACCTGTTAGGTTATGAAGGAAAACCGATCAGCAAATGAGGGACAAGCTTCATGGATTCCGGCGATTGAAAAGTGACTGAGCTCAGGTCAGTGTTGCAAAAAGGAAAATCGGACTGAGAAAGTGCGGGAAACAAAATGGGAAAATCTAGGGAAGCATGATCTGATTATCGTTGCAGAAGGGAGAGAAAGTGAAGAAGAGAGAGACGGGAAAGCTGGAAGAATTGTAAAAGAATAAAAATTCCGCCGTCTATGGCTGAGAAGTGAGAGAACTGAAAACAGAAATAAGCAAAATGGCAAAAAGTGAAGGCACAGAGAAAATTGCCCAAAATGTTGGCCAAATTTTCGAGATTGACACTTCGCTTTTCTCTTTTTTTTTTTTTTTTTTTGGGGGGGTGAAGGAGACGTTTGATCATTTGGTTTTCAGAAAATCCAAAACACGACGAGGAAAAATAATACTAAAAGAAAAATTATTTATTATTAATTATTAATCAAGTGACCTGACCCGTCTTTATCTTCTGGTCTCGGCGCTTTGCTTTGCAATGGAACTGGAAGCTCAAATTCCATTCAAGTTACGTTGAATTTTGTGGATTCTTCATTTAAAAATCATATTCATCTGATATTTAATATAAAACCTATTTAACTAATTTGATTAGATTAAAAAAATTAGATAAATTAGTTAAATATAAAAAATGTGACATGTTTTTTTTAAAACACCATAATCATCTTCCTTAATATCATCTTTCCATTTCCTACTTGCTTATAGTTGAGAAAATATCTATAAGGATAATTTAGAAAAAATTAATAAATATAAGAAATAGATATTATATTTAGGACCAAAATCAACTCAACAATTAAGTCATGTATTAAGAACCAGAAGAGTACATATATAATAATAATAATAATAATAATAATAATAATAATAATAATAATAATAATAATAATAAAACAATTTCTATAATGGTTGGATTAATTATTTTTCTATGGTGGAGTCAAATCGGAATACTGAGGGCAATTTGATGTGCTTCTATTTTTATGAAATCTTTGATCCAAAATCAAAATTAATATTTAATATAAAATATAAAACTTATAAATACGTAAAACATTAGGACCATGGAGATCATGGAATTTAAACTCCTATTATTTATCTAATTAGCTAAATCTATCTTATTACTGCATACTTAATTTGAACAATTAGAACTTGACCCTATTTTGGTATGCTTGGTTAAAAAGATTATATTATCCAAGAGTCTATATTATCTGGAAAAAAAAATTCCTATTATCTAACTTGTAGATTCTAGTTTTTTTTAATTAAAAAAATAGCTTGTAAACAACTGGACCTACCTTCAATCCCCTCTTATACGATACAACGTCTGAATCTCTCATAATTCCTTTTTTTTTTCTTTTTTTTCTCAAAATCTCATTTCCGTCATTAGATTTAAACAGAAATAGTTCAGATTTAATATTTTAAAAAGTAGATATCTTCTTTCTCCTATTTGTGTAATATTATAATAACAGTTTCATAAAATATAAAATCTGAAGCATCTATTATTTAATCTAACAATAAAAATGGGATTCAAGCGAAAAGGAGAAAGAGGGATTCTGAGATTATCTCCCTCCATACAATGTCATATAATAATAATAATAATAATAATAATAATAATAATGGTTGGATTAATTATTTTCCTATGGTGGAGTCAAATCGGAATACTGAGGGCAATTTGATGTGCTTCCATTTTTGTGTACTTCTCAAAAATTTTCAAATATGAGTTATGTGAATATGGGATCCTATTATTTTGGTTGAAACTATTTTTTGGTCTGGGGCATTTTGGTGGTCAAATCATGATAAACTAATTTACATTTATAATGCATAAAATCATATTTTTATTTTATTGATTTGAATTGGATTTTGGAAATTACTAGAATTAGGATTTCATAGATCTTATAAAAGTATTTATAGATATTTATAGATTATAGATTGCTAATCAACATGTTAATATTCTTTATCGTGGCTCTTGCAATTTGGATGAGAAAGGTGAACAATTATTAGATTATGTCCATTTTGATAAGAAACTAATAGGCCGAAATTTATTGAGAAGCATGATTTATCTTAAACAAGATTCAAAATTTAAAAAAAAAAAATTACTATGTTGTCTCATGTAAATTCCAGATGTATCCTACTCATTTATTATGAGATGTTTAATGTTTACATTGTTTATGTCAAATATTAAATACTAAATGATTTTACCAAAATTTTAAGTGTCATAGATTAATAAGAAAAAACCAAAGTATCAAAATAAAAAGATTGATAAGCAAAGCCATTTTATAGGTACCTATTTTTTTTTTTAATTTGTATTTTGTTCCTTATATGTTTTTCTTTCTTAATTAATTTTTTTTAATTTTGCTCCATCAGCATGTTAGTCGCTGTTAAAGGGGTGACTGTGCAAACCGATCTAAGTTATACGGACTAACAGTAGTAACAGAACAAAATTAAAGGACTTAATTTAGGGGGAAAAAACATACAAGTATCAAATTAAAAATTAAAAAAAATGCAGGTACCTACAAAATGATGTTTTCTATGCTCATACAAAGTTCATTTCCCTTCATTTGGAGTCCAGCGACATTTTAGGCTTAGAAACACCTTTTGTGGAATTTTTTTTTATAATAAAACTGTTTATAATAATTTTATATTTAATTATGTTTTAAGATGCAAAATGTGATACATCCCCATGTTATTTTTGCTGCTTTTTGAAGATACATTTTTCATTTTAATATTTTTAGTTTGACTACATCAAATTTAAGAAAATGTTTACACGTGATCTCTCTAAGCTTCGAAGATAAACCAAAGCTTATTGAACACTTAAGTAAGGTGTTAAAAAAAAAAAAGGATACCTAATCTACCCATTTTTAATTTTAATAGACTAAGTCAACGAGCAACATATGTACATATTAATTAACCAATGATACTCCCTCTAATTAAGGAGAGTAGGACTTTTTTTTCCTAGAGAAAAAACATGCAAATTAAAAATAATATTGTTATAACAAAATATATAAATGTGTGGTCCCATAAATATAAATATATGGGATTTAAAATTTGAATGCAAAAAATATTTAAAAGAGAAAAGACAGCCTAAGAGGACAAGCCATTATAAGTGGGATTAAATTTAGGGAAAATGGTAAAAAAGACTGCCAAAATAGAAAAAATTGTAAATAAAGACATGACAATATTAGTATGTGTTTTGATAATAATTTTTACAAACCAGTTCCTTTATGTGATTTTTCTATTTCAGCGGTCTTTTTTACCATTTTCCCTTAAATTTACGACCTTCTACTTTTAAAGGAAGTATTTCATGTCAATAAGCCACAACAAATAGGCAATATATAAATGTAATTATTGTTTTGCATTTACATGTGTGATTTAATATAAATGTATTTATTGCTTTGCATTTACATGTGTAATTTAATATAAATAATATGACAAGAGATTAAACTTGAAAGTGCCTTGGTCCTTGGATAAGATAGTGGGTCATTATATCCTAATTAATAAGAACACCCCAATTAATTTTATTTAATTCTTTTGGCCTGATTTTTGTAAGTTGCTTCCGCCCTTAGTATAGGGGTGTTCATCAAGCCCGCTAGCTCAGTATGCCCGTCTGAGCCCGTGAAAAAATGACCCTGCCTGGCCCAAAAAAAACAGCCCAAAGAAAAATGGACATTTTTGGGTTGGGCATATTATGGGCTGGGCTGGGCTGCGGGCAAGTATGCTGCCCTGCCCGTGATATATATATTTATAATTCTTTTTTTCTTGCCAAAAATACTTCTAATGATATATATAATAATATATATTATTCTCCCATTTGCCCTAGATACATTTAGTGATATACGTAATTCTTCCTTCTTAGTATCTATTTAATGTTTTTCTAATCTGGTTTAGTATCTTTTAGATTGTTTTCATTGTTGGTTGTCTTGCAAAGATGCAAAAGCAAGCTCACTTTAGTGTTGTATTAAAAGATATATCAATTTAAGACAAATCAAAGTTATTGATTTGTTGAATTTATTATTTATTCAAGTATTTATTTCTTTATAATTGTTATAAGATACCCTTACTTTAACTAAAAAAATTTTCACCAAGATATTACTATTTGGGCTTGGAAGCCCGCCTTACTTAGCCCGTTATTGCCCAGCTCGAAAATGGTTAGAGCTTCTATGGGTTTCTGCAGCTCGCTCATCTTTCAGGCCGAGCATCAAGCAAGGGGCATGCCTTGTCCAGTTCTGCCCATGAACACCCCTACCTTAGTATTTGATGAAGTTTATATGTATTGAGATGAGATATTTTTTTTAAAAAAATCCCAAATAAATAAAGAAAGAAAAGAAATTGTATTAAAATTATGGGGAAAAGTTTTTGAATTGGAAAAGGCCAAATGGGAACATGAAAAACCTATAATTGGTTGTCTTCAGCTGTGAATGAAAATTGCATGTGCATATGGTTGGAGTTAGCTAACACTCATGCCCTATTTAATTAATAGTTTTAATTTATAAGAAATAAAGTATGCAATTATTACAAATATTATAATTCATATTTTAAGCCATACACCATAAAAAAGCAAACAAATATAAAATGATAGAATATTACATAATTTATTTACTTGCTAAAGGTTTTCTTGTTTTATTTTTACATTAAATTTATTGTTATTGGCTAGCATATTTATTATTATTATGTAAATGATATTATCACTATTATTATCTGTATTAAATGAATAATAATGTTTGAAAGAGTTATCAAAATGAGGATTTTATGAATGATATAATTTTTATAGTGGAATATGAGTGATAAACTATTAAAGTTATTCAGAAGGTCATATTTATTTTTCAATTATAGAATCCTATGAAATGTGTAAAATGTAATTTAAAAAGTTTCATAAAATCTAATAAAACACATGAAGGAAAATTTAAAAAATAAAAAAATTGCTTATTGAAAAAATAGTTATATTATTTATGGAATTATAAATAACATAGCATGTTATGATGATTTTTGAAGTAGTGATTGAGATTTGAGAGAAAACTTGGTGGGTGTACTTTAGAGAAAAGTAAAGAGAGCTTGGCCACAAGCCTCACAATTCATGCATGGTCCCTCCCTTTTTGGTTCCAATTCCAAGTGGTCCTAATCTTTCTTAAACTTTCCATGTTTCTTAGTCCCACACTTACCCAACTACGTTGTACCTTAATGCTCCACTTCCCTATTCATTTAGCTTAAATTTAGATTT